TGTCCATCTTTCTATCTACCTACCTACCTTCCATCCATCCATCCATCTATCTATCTTATCTATCTTCCATCCATCCATCATCCATCTATCCATCCATCCACCCATCTATCAGTATCCATATAATAACAGATATAAAATTGTGTGTGTGGATGGATGGATGGATGGATGGATGGAGAGAGAGAATGAAAATAGATGTAATTTATGTGTTACACTAAGTCTTAGATGTAGAATAACTATTGTCACTTTGAATGTACACTAATTGGCAAACATTAAAATGAAATTTTGTTGCATACAGCTCTCAGTGGGTCTCCAGCTCCAATATACACCACATTTCTGTTTTTAATGGGATTTTTTTAAAGCAAAGATTTATTTATTTATTTGATAGATATTGATGGCTACCTATCTCATACACATGGTACTGAAAAAAACCACTGTACAAAACCGAAAAGGTTGGAGACCCCTGATCTAGAGTTTGCACAAGTCACTCTCTGCTTGTCCTTCCTTCCTTCAATGAAATTGACCTATGGCAAAACTGTCAGTCAATCATCGTTCGCTTCCTCCAGCTTCAAGCTGACTAATTGCTGAGTGTCTCCATATAAATGAGAGAAGGTATTTTTTTCCCGTGCTCTGTCCATTTGTGCATCTGCAGTTGGGTCCCTGAGTCTGTTGGTTCTTCTCCCCTGTTGTGGTTCACCAGCAGCCTGTGCAGACGGCAGCGGAATCAGACAGAGGGGAATAATGCGGACCAGTCCGGGAATCTGGAGAGGACTTGGACGATGGTCCTGCATCTGATACAGAGATGGGGCCAGGACCATGTGAGAGTGTGGTGCTGCCTTTGGAGCCTCTGGAGTCTGGCAGCAGCAAGGCAGAGGACCCAGAGGAGCCTGTGTGTATGTGTGTGTGTGTGTGTGTGTGCACAGAGCTGCTAGAAGGCAAGAGCAACTGAGACAAAAGGGGCAATTCAGGAGTAAGCCTTGGAGGTGATTGCCCCTCCCATAAGGTATAAAGGACAGGCAAAGGTGACGAAACCTTTGCAGGAAGCAAAGTGGTCTGTTCGGTTCAGATTCATTCTTGAAGCTCTTTGTACTTCAGTTGCTTTTTTTTTCTAGTTCATTGGACACTTTTGTTATCGGCAGCACTTCACAGGAAGGAAAGGTGGGTGCTTATCTCGAGGGACTGTTTGACAATTCATGACCCGCTGGGAATGAAAATAATTCCCAGTGTTGCAATAAAACAAGAAGAGAAGGTCTGGGAAGGAGAGTTGAGTGTTAGAAAAAAGCAAAAGCAAAACCAAGAAATAAGCAAAAAGTCCATAGAGATTCTCAGTCCTCCAGGTCATGGTTGTCCCAAAGGTGCTTTTTCAGGAGGCAACTGGACTTTCTTGTTTTTTTCTTTTTTCTTTTCAAGAAATAAGCAATGACACTGAAAGGTTGCTAAGTTGCCGTGGCATCAGCCCTCTATTGTACTCGGAATCTCTGCATAGCCCAACAGCTATCGTAGTTACCACGCATCTTGCCCAAAGAGTAATGGCGGTGCCAACAACTAGCTATGCTGAGAAAATGGAGAACAGGAAAATGACGGAAACTTCACAATCAGGAACAAGAAGCCAGATCTTGGGAAAAACACATCATGGCTGCATCTGCAGGAGGCCAGGATATGGAAAAAGAGAAAAAGATAAATCTCTTCTCCCACAGGAACTCTTGAAGTAGAGATATCTCAAGAAAACAAGCAAATGAAAACTGGTTCTGGGATGGTATTCATTGGACCAGGTTGGTCATCATCCCCAGAAGAAAAATGTTTCCAGCACAAAGATTGGACTCAATGGCAAGCCTCTTCTTACAAAATTGAGTAATTATCATGCAGTTAAGGGAAAGTGGTGGGGTGGAAACTAGAGGTGGAGCTCTCGCCTCACAATCAGGAGGCGGTAAGTTTGATCCTAGGTAGAGGCAGGTATTTTCTCTCTCTGGGCACGATGAGGATATATCTGCTGAACAAAACTCTGCATCGGTGACAGGAAGGGCATCTGGCCATTAAACGATCTGCTAGTTCCATTCAGTTGTCAGACGCCGCCCCGCATGGGATTATGGGCTAATTTAAATGATGATGATCATCATCATGGGGTTAAGGGGTTTCCATCATCTCAGAGCTCCTTCCTTGGTGAAGCTTCACCTTTTCAACCCTAGCTTTAGAAAGATGCTACTTTGCTGGCACTTCTGCACCAATGTGATGCCAATATGCAAATTATTTGGAACAATGCACACAGAAAGCATGAGCTGAAAAGTGTCACAAAGGCAACCCCAGGTAGCCCAGGGTCATAGAGGTGGGGAATTCATTCAGGTATCTCCATCCAAGTCAAGAGGGACCTTTTGGTGTCTAGTATTAGGACTTAGTAGATTTGACCACAAGGTGCAGCAGTCTTGTTCTCAGGTGCCTTTTCCAAGAGATCTTGGTGCTACCTCAAAAGCTCAAACAAATGAGGACAGCGAAGTGCTGGAGATGCTTCCATGGAACTATTTTATGTTGCCTTCGCTGTTTTAGGACGAGGAAAAGGTACCCATTCTTCTTTCTGTTCTTTGGCTTGCTAAAACAGTGTTGACATGTAGGAACCATTTGGAGAAGCTTGTATCTAATATCGGTTTTGGATTCTAGATGAAAGAATCAGAGTATCTAATCCAAAGGAGGGTTCTAGACCAACCTGTATGACATTGTTCAAGTTGTTATTAATGGATTTCCAAACAGTCCATCAAGCAATGATACTTGGAAAGGGCATCAGTAAAAGAAATAATATTGTAAAATGCTGTCAGATAAAAGGTTTGTTTGATTCCCAGAGTAAATGTGAGGATTTCCTTAAGTGTCATGGGAAAAAAAAATCAAAATATACAATTCCAAAGATGTTTCCACAGTTTTCAAAATACTGAGAAGCATTGCCCCCTTTTATTGAAATAATAATACGCAAATATTTTGTTTTGTTTTGTTTAGGAAAGCAATCAAGGATGCTATTCCCCGTAGCCTATAAAACAATTCAGAATATTCTACATAAGAATATTTTCAAGGGTTTATCCCATTCCCTGAGGGCCGTTGGCCAATCTATGTGGGACAGTCTGAAGATCAGTTCTCCATCTGATGAAATTATTTGCTTTTCCTGCAGTTCAGTGGAAAAAATCCTGGAGTTTTCTGGAGCCAAGTGGTACACGCCAGGTCTGGAACCAGTGATAGTCCACGACATCTTATCAGACAGCATTCCGGACAAGGACAACGATTGCATGGAAATTACCGCGATGATGCATGAAGCGAAAGAAAATGGCGATCTATTGAATGGCGCTTCAGACCTGAATCTAGAAGATGACTCAGATCTGAGCAACATGCCGGTCGATCTCCAAGACTACCTGGATGAATGGAATGGATATAGTACATTTCCAGGCCGTGACCTCCAAGCTGATGAGACAACAGTGAACCTAATGGATCAGATTATGCAAGGAGAACCTAAAGAAAAAGGAGAAGAAACTGGACGTCATTCTGGACCACCTGGAGAAGAATAAGAAATGCAGGATGAAGGACAAATCTACATGAAGTATCAGGCCTTGAAGAATAACAAGAAGATTCTTATGCAAGCTATTTCCTTTGATTCTGAGAAGAAGGGATCTTGGCTTATAAACAAGACTTCAGATTTCGAAAGCCTGGTTGGTTAAGATCCAGAAAGTCTTCAGATCTTCAACCTAGAGCGAATCCCAACAAACTATTTATTTGATTATATCAGCAAGGCATTTTTCATATCTGTTTTTTTTAAAACACTGACGCTAGAGCGGGGATAGGTGACTTTTTCTGCAGAAGGTCCTGTGTGGGTAGACCGTAATCAGTGGGTGAAATTAACTATGGTCTCTTTGCACTTCCTTATCCTTCTGACATTCGTTTTTCCCCCTTTTCTTCAGAGCAAACTGGTATGGATCACTCTCTTCAGAAGTCTAAACTTTGACTTGTAGGCAGCTTTGGAAAGAGGTACTTCTCAGGATGCAGGTTATGCCCCCTTAAAAGATAGGTATTCTTTGCAGATTCTGGATTTCTTCACAAAACCTTGTCGAC